GACTGTGGAAGGTGCATAATGAAATCGCAGCAGTTGGGAGGGAGACCAGCAGAGTCAGAGTTTGTCTGAGGCCAGTCTCGGCTTCCTAGCATGTTTGAGGCCAGCCTGGACTTCCCGAAGCCCTGTCTCAAAAAACACATCAAGCCTCCTGAGCTCGGCTTAAGTCACGTAAATTATTCCAATTTTCCCATTCCCGTATGCACAGTGAACTGATTCCACTCTGATCATCACCCAATTGCACAGATTTAGGAAAATGGTGAGTGGAGTGGTGAGTGGAGTCAGAATGTCCTCTGAATTGTGACGACAGAACTTGTTTTGCCAGCGAGGATCCTTGGTCAACAATTGTATTTATTTTCATCTTTCAGGAATGGGATTGGAAGCTGAGCATGGTGGCGCACACTTTTAATCCCAGAACTTGGGAGACAAAGGCAGGCAGATCTCTGTGAGTTTGAGGCCAGCCTGGTCTACACAGAAGGTTTTAGGCCAGCCAGGTGCTGTACAATGAACTCTAACCCCAGTGTTTTCCCTTTGGGAGACAGGGTATCATTCTTTGCCTCACTTGAACTCCCTTGCTGGCCAGGCACTCAGCACCCAGAACAGCTGGGGCTCCGGGGCTGCCTGAGCGCGGGTCACTGGGTTGGTGACTTTAACCAGCGTCTGTAATCCAGCACTGTGCACTCCTCGGAGAACTGTTCCTTCTCTTTGGGGATGTGCACCCCTGAAAGCCTAATTTCAACCTCCTGAAGGGTATTTCTTAAGGACGCCCAGGCAACTGGGAAGCAACGTCTTCACACCCAAAGGGCTGGAGATTGCAGTCGGTAAAAGACCTTGACACAAGGCTGTGTGTGAGCGCGCATCCTAATTTCTGCCTCCGTTTAAGAGGCTCCCCGGGGGCTAAGCCCTTAGTAAAGTTAACTTATTAACCCTTGGTAAGGCGTGATTAACCAGCCTTGTTAGCCCTTACTAAACATACTACCGCCTGCCAATGTGAAACCTCATTCCGTCACAGCAATATAAACTAGCAATGACAGCAACACATCGACTCAACAGCTTCACGCCGCTGAAGAGCGGGTAGGCTCGTTAAGTGTGTGTGTCCCTTCGGTATAGTGGTCTGTTCCCTGGGGTCGCTCTTGGAAAAGGATTCTCACTTCAAGCATCCTGCCTGAGGACCGCGGGTATGCAGATCCTGACGCTCCCAGCTATGCGTGTGCGGCTGGCATCACTCACCACTCCCGGAGGGCCCAGCCCAAATCCGGAGCTTTGACATCCTTGGGGCTTTGGCGTACAAGGTCCCGCAACCTCCCCAACCCGCCTGTCAGCCCCAAGAACCCGGCTGACGCTTTTCCCGGGCCCGCGAGCCCTCGAGCCCTCGAGCTGCAGGTGTCGCGCGAGGGATGCGCCGCAGGGAAGGGCCCCTGCTCGCCGAGGGGTGTGAACGCGCGATGCTCGCGGCGAGGCCAGGTGTGGATGGCCACACGCCGCCTCCGCAGAGGGGATGTCAGGGTGAGGGGAGAAGGCGGCCCGCGGTTGGAGATCAGACAGAAGCGGCCCGGATACTCACTCAGCCAGGACTCCAGACTCTCCCCTTCCGCCTCCGCCATATTGCAGCCGCCCGGTCCGGCCCTGCGGCCTCAGACCTCGCGAGATTCTGCGCGAGCCGGTCCGGGGCGGGGCTTGCATGGGGGCCTGAGAAGGTTGGAAGCTGCCGCCAGCAGGCGTGCCAGACTGTGTCGGATTCCGGGAGGACGAGCGTATTTTCTCGCTTGTTCTTCGAAGGGAAACTCCGACGTAAAACCCTGTCTTGAGTAAACTGTGCGCTTTCTCATCCGTATCCTGTCACTCACTCAGGCGCGCCGCCGGCAGCCCTCTGAGGTCCTTGAAGCGGGTCAAGATGGCTGCGCCCGCTCTGCAGGCAGCGCGACGGTGGTCGGGACTGTCTTTGGGAGTGAGGCTTGCTGTCTGGAACCTTCCAGGGTGAGAGGCAATGGGGAGCTGCCACCGCCGCTCAGGCCTTTACGGGAGGATCTGGGGAAAGGAAAGGAGGCACAGACGGGCCGCGCTGAGTCCTGGAGCCCTGCTCGGGGACCGGGGTGGCCGAATCAAGCTATCAGCGGGCCAGTTTGAGGGTTTAGTGCCTTGCCCCTAGCCGGACAGGTTGGGTTGATCTAGACCGGTTCTACCCCGAGTTGAAAGTGCGGCCCCCTTGAGATCTCAGAACTGGAATTGCCTAGGCGGCTCGGGGAGAGCTGTCCTCAGTAGTGTTCGCAGAGGAGGAATTTTTAAATGGCCGATTTCGGAGAGGGCTGCCTACCTCTTTGGGCAAGAGTCAGAACTGCTGCTGTTGAGGTTTAGCTTGCGGTCCCAGCGTTACTGTCCCTTGTCAGCGTGCCGGCAAGCGGGCTTATTGTTAAGTCAGGCTTGTTTACCTGTGCAGTCACAAGTTCATTTGTGGAGTTCTCTCGTCTGTTTCCTCCTTTTCCCGCTCCCAGGATAACCCAGGTGAGGTGGAGCCGCTATGCCCCTGAATACAGGGATCCCTTGATTGACAAGGAGTATTACCGCAAGCCTGTGTCGGAACTCACCGAAAAGGAGAAATATGACCAGGAGCTCAAGAAAACCCAGCTCATCAAAGCTGCCGCAGCAACGGAGACAAGCTCAGTGTTCGCAGACCCTGTCATTAGGTGAGGCAGAGCCGCTCAGCTGCCGTGGGCTGCCATTAGCCCAGACCAGGTTTCAGCCGCAAGAAATCCAGCCTTGGGAAGCTAAACATGTTTTTCTCTTTGAAGCAAATTCACCAACATGATGATGAAAGACGGGAACAAAGTGCTGGCCCGATCACTCATGGCCCAGGTAAACCGGGTTCTTCCGCTCTGCTTCACTGCCTTTCCCCTCTGCTTTTGAACTGGGTCTGAGAGGGGTTTCTCTACGTGTCATTGAAATTAATTTCTGAGAGCTGGGAGTGGTGGCACCCAACAGGTGTCCCATCACTATTGGAGAGGCCTTTGAGTCCAGCATGCAAGAGGCCAAGGCAAAGCAAGTCAGGCGGATCTCTTTTCAGAATGCCGGGACAGCCAGAGCTACACAGAGATCCTGGTTAGGGGGTGGGTAGGGATTCTCACCGGTTCTTTGGGTCTGTCTAGTAAAGCAGTAGGCTCCTAAACTCTTTAGTTTTTTTGAAAGAGGGTCTCATGGAGCACAGTCTAACCTGGACCCTGCTGTATATCTGAGGATAACTTTGAACTCTTGATCCTCCTGCCTCCACCTCCCAAGTGCGGTCGCTGGTCTGCAGCACCACTCCCAGCTGCTGGCTGAGCGGCCTCTTCCTTCTCTTTGCAGACCCTGGAAGCTGTGAAGCGGAAGCAGTTTGAGAAGTACCACGCTGCCTCTGCAGAGGAGCAGGCCACCATCGAACGGAACCCCTACAAGATCTTCCACCAGGCCCTGAAAAACTGTGAGCCTGTGATTGGGTTGGTGCCTATCCTCAAAGGGGGCCATTTCTACCAGGTGAGTGGGCAGTGAAGAAGGGCAGCCGGCATGTGAAACTGATCGGGGAGTGAAGGTTCAGAGTTGGGCCATGTACAGTAACTCCTGGGCACTGTCAGGATCTGCTCCTCTGAGGCCCACAGTATAAAAACCACAGGCAGGAAGTGGAAAGACAGAACTCGGTAACTCCCATCCCTTTGTCCAGTATTCTGTGTAGCCTATGCTATGAACTCTTGGTAAAGGAGTGTGCTCACAGGCCAGTGCCTAGAACACAACTTGAGCCATGAGCGTTCGTCAGTTATGAACTGAGTTGGCCACCCTGTCAGCATTTAATTATATTATCACATTAGGGTATCTTCTCCCTTAGTGGCAACTCCAAGACTAGGGGATTTTCTTTTGCTGTCCTTAGTGTATGGCATGCAATGGGGCCAAGAAAATGGTTTTATTTTTATGCACCCTTGGTCTGAGGTAGCCCGTTTGCCTCGAGTAGCACAGCTTTCTGAATTGGTGCTTGTGTCGACTTGGCAAAGCTTCTCCTTAGGAAGGAAAGTGCCTAATGAACTTACTAAGTGAATGTTTCTGAGGAGACAGGTTTCTGTCCTCAGTTCCTATCCCAGGACTACTCTCGAGACAGTTCACAGTAGCTTCTAGGAGGTGGTGGGCCTCACACCGTCAGGCCCAGCTCAGCTTCAGCTTGTCTCCCCGTCCAGGTCCCTGTACCCCTCACTGACCGACGTCGCCGCTTCCTGGCCATGAAGTGGATGATCACAGAGTGCCGAGAGAACAAGCCACGGCGGACGCTGATGCCAGAGAAGCTGTCAGATGAGCTGCTGGAGGCTTTTCATAACCGGGGTCCCGTGATCAAGCGGAAGCACAATATGCATAAGATGGCGGAGGCCAACCGTGCCCTGGCCCACTACCGCTGGTGGTAGCAGAACGGGGAGATGGACAAAGTCCAGGACACTACCACAGGAAACCACTTGAGGGGCTGGAGAAATGGCTCATTGGCTAAGAACACTGGCTGCTCTTTCCAGAGGGACGTGATTTGATTCCCAGCACCCACATGGAGGCTCACTAACCTTCAATAACCCTGGTTCCAGAGAATTTGACACCTTCTGACTGCTTTGGGCACCAGGCATGCACATGGTACTCAGACATACATGCAGGGAAAGTATCTATACATATACCACTACTAATTAAAGTAATTTAGAAAGAAACTATTTGAGCCCTGTTGGAAAGTTCTGGAAGGAACTTAAGGATGGAGAGGGTCTTTGTAATGTAACCTTAGACCCTATGAAACCTTTGATTCTCCCATGCCTGCTGGAAGTTGGGAAGGTACAGCTCGGGGCGTGCATCTGCCCCTCACTTAGGATCTCAGGAGCCTATGCTACCCAGTAATCCAGACTGGTTCCCCTCCCACCGCCTAAAGCACAACATGTCTCCTTAGAGATTTCTTCCAAGAAACTCAGGTCCAACCAGCTTGGGGTATACCTTTGGCCATTAAGAAAAGGAAGCAGTTTGGTTACAGAAAAGATTTATTAGAAACCCTCCCCCTGACCTGGCGAGGCCCTGTCGCTGATGGAAACGGACAGGAAGATGCAGGCCTCTCCACAGTGTCTCTGTACAAAATGTAGAGAACACTTCCTCAGGTCGTTTGTAACTCTGCTGCCCTTAATGTCCCAGAGCATCCCACCAGCGGCCCATTTTACAGATGGGGAAACTGAGGCACCAAGGTAGTAAAGTAGTATTGCGCCAGTGGTTGTTAGGAGTTGCCTTTTCCTGCCTGGCCCAGGCAGAAGCTGAAAAGACTTGGAGGAAGAGGGAAGCTGGGCAGTCTCCAGCCAGGGACCAGGTCTGTTTTCTCCACAGCTCCAGAGGGAGGAAAGGGGGGTCATAGAAAGGTGTGGCCTCGCTCAGTCCAGAACCTCGCTGTAGTAGTACTGATGGGCAGCAGGAGTGGTCTTCCAGCCAGCCGCCCGGAACTCGATGATCTCCAGCAGCAGCAGCCGGGCCAGGGAGCTAAGGTCTATCGGCAGCAGGAAGCCATCCCGGATTAGGACAAAGAGCTCATCCATGCGCTGCCCGTTCATCTTCTCCAGCTGCTCCCCAACCCGGTGCAGCTGTAGCACCAGGCAGTCCACCTGCAGGGGCAGTGCAAGGCCTGGTCAGCCAGAGGGAGGACCGGCCTGGCACACCTGCTGCAGACCGTGTTCTGCCCTTTATAGTGGCTCCTTGCTTCATTCTGACACCAGAGGGTATAACCCACATCTTACCACAAAGACTTGCACAGAACTGACCAGGCCGAACGCGGGTCTGGGCCTGTCTCCAAGCTGTTGCTTAACCCTCTGGCTTCGGTACCCCCAAATGCCTGACTCAGGAGCTGGTTTCTGACTGGGTGGTGGTGACACACACTAATCCCAGCACTTAAGAGGCAGAGGCAGGCACACCTCTGAGTTCAAGGCCAGCCTGGTCTACAGAGCAAGTTCTAGGACAGGCTCCAAAGCTACGCAGGGAAACCCTATCTTGGGGGAAAAAAAAAGTTGGTTTCTGGGCCATCTGTGCCCACAGCTGGCCACAGCTCTTGCCATTCTTAGCGTGGGCTGGCTGCCCTCCTGGGGAGCCTGTAGCCTTGGCTGCTGTGCGTTCTGGGTAAATTCCAGACACTGTCATTTGTCTTGTAATTGCTGCAGGCCTTAAATGCCCCTACTCGGCACTGGCCGAGGAGCAGTGGCCTCCATGAGCGGGACTGCTGGGCTCCAAGCCAGCATGCCCGCCACAGCTTTCTGTCCACTGGGCACTCACCTCCTCTTCCCTGCTCAGACTCTCAGGCTGAGCCAGCTGGAAGAGACAGTCATAGACAGGGTTGACCAGGGCCATCATGGGCATGTTGTTCACCTGTGGGGAGAGCCAGAGGGGCAGGGAGGCAGCGTTAGTGACCACGGGGAGCAATCCAGCCTTGGTCTCGGGACACAGGCCATCACTGCTGCCCGGGGTGGCTGCCCTCGCCTCACCCTCAAGTAGTCAAAGATGCTGCAGATGAAGGTGACATAGCACACCCAGCTCTGCCGGGAGCGAGCTCGCAGCTGCTCCCTGGCCTGATACTCCCGCTGCAGCCGGTCAAGGAGCCCGCGCCGGAAGACACTCTGGCCTGCTTGTTTACTCTCCGCCTGTGAGCCAGGAGAGGGTGGTAAGCGGGCACTGGCCACTCCACCCGCCCTAGCCTTTGTCTAGAAATGCCGGTGTCTGCTGCTGGCCAGCCTGTGCCTGATCCTGGGGTGCCATCCTCAAGGCAGCTCCCGCTCTGCCAGCCCCCCCAACCTGGATGATGGCGTAGCACATCCGTCCTGCTTCCTTGCTGAACACACAGTCCTGCAGAGAATGGTCCACAACCACATTGGCCACTTTCTCCAAGTCCACAGCGCCTGGATCTGGGGTAGAGACAGGGGCGGAGTCTGGAGCTGCCTGCTGCGGAGTCACATTGGCCTCCAATGCTAAGGACTCAAGGTTTTTGTTGTTGTTTTTTCTTTGAGAGAGGGTCTCATCATGTAGCCTTGTCTGACCTGGAACACTCTTTGGAGACCACAGAGATTTGCCTGCCTCTGTTTCCTGAGTACTGGATTAAAGTTGTGTACCAAAACACTCAAGGACCTGAGATAGAACACCTCCATCACATGCTTAAAAGAAGAAGGGAAGACCATCCAGATGGCACTCAGGAGGCAGAAACAAGGAGGATCAAGAGGTAAGGGTTACCCTTGGCTACATACAGAGTTCTAGGACAGCCTGGGTTGAGAGGTGCACAGCTGTAATCGCAGGACTTGAAAGGCAGAGACAGGCAGCCTGACTATATACAAGTTCCAGGTCAGCCAGAGCTACTTAGTGAGGTCCTGTCTAGAAAAAAAAAAAAAAATTCAAAGTTGGAGATGTAGGGGGCTGGAGAGATGGCTCAGAGGTTAAGAGCATTGCCTGCTCTTCCAAAGGTCCTGAGTTCAATTCCCAGCAACCACATGGTGGCTCACAACCATCTATAATGGGGTCTGGTGCCTGCAAGCATACACACAGACAGAATATTGTATACATAATAAATAAATAAATAAATATTTTAAAAAAAAAAAAAAAAAAAAACAAAGTTGGAGATGTAAAGGCTGTCATTTGGGGATCAAGCACTCTGCCTACCTACTATGTGTGAAACCCAAGGTCGGACCAATAAAAAAGCAGCCTCCAAGAAGGCGCTTGTAACCATGCCTAGGGCAGCTCTGTCAGGACCCTGTCAGGACGCTGGCTGCCCAAGCATGAAATAGGGGAGGTGAAGCATGTCTCGGTGGTTAAGAGCTCTTGCCTTTGCAGAGGACCCAGGATCAATTCCCAGCCCAATGCTGGGCTGTTTATAGCTGCCTGTAACTCCAGGTCCAGAGGCTCTGACACCCTCTTTTGTATCCACGGACACTGCACATGCGTGGTGCACATCCAGACAAGTAGTGCACACAAATAAACTCAATTAAAACCAAGTTTTTTAATTATATACTGCCACATGTGGCTCTCAGCCTATAATCTCAGCACTTGGGAGGCAGAGGCATGCCAACCTGAGTTTGAGGCCAGCTTGGTCTATATAGTGAGCTGTAGGCCAGCCAGGGCTATACTGAGAGGTCCTTGCCAAACAAACAAACAAACAAATATAGGATTATGAGGCTGGAAGAGACCAAAGTATAGATGTACTTTCTTGGGATACACGTTTTATGTTTTTGGCAGTAGACTGAAGAATGTATACTGAATGCCAAGATGTCTACAACCTTTTCTTTTTCTGGTCTTTCAAGACAGCCTAATTTTGCTATTTAATAGCACTGGCTAGCCTACAGCTCAGCATGTAAATTTTTAGGTTCATTCATTTTATGTGTATGAATATTTTATCTGCATGCACATATGCATACTATGTGTTTGCCTGGTGCTGGCATCGGATCCTGGGAACTCAGTTAACAATGACCGTGATCCACTCCGGGTCCTCTGGAAGTGATATATATATATACATACATATATATATATATTCCCCCCCCCCCCCGTGTGTGACTAGGTCACACTATGTAGTCCTGGCTATCTTGGAATTCACTATATAGCTAATCACCCAGACTGGTACTCATAGAGGGTACTCCTGCCTCTGCCTCTCCAGTGCTGAAATTAAAGGTGTGCACCAAGCCTGGTTTGCAACCAGTGCTCTAAACTGTTGGGCTCTTTCCCCTCCCCCAGGCACTCTCTATGTAGAGCAGGTTGGCCTTAAATTTGTGCTTAATCCTCCTGCCTCTGTAATCTGCTTGGATTACAGTTGTGCACCACCGCATGGCTCCAAGTATTCTCAAAACGCAGAGGCCCCAGACAAGAGCTCTGTGCCAAGACTTCCCCAATGGAATGTTAAGTCACACTTCTGTTCTGAGGTTACCATGGAAGGGCACGGGCCAGGCAATGACATATCTCTTCCAGCAAGCTGACTCCCCAACCTCAGTCCCCAATCAGACAGCTCTGAACATTTAAGGGAGCTGAGAGCTGACTGCATTGAACGCGGAGGCTTTAAACCAAAGCTTGTGTTCTCTTTCATGGGCACTTAACGGCTTTATGATCGTAGGACTCCGTGATTCATTCTCAAAACTAATGATCTAGGTGTAGCTCGTCTTCCAGTTCAAGAGTTAGGTTGTGACTTCCTCTCGGGGAGCCACGGGAAGGCTGGGCATTGCCTGGCTCTGGGACTCAGCTCCTCTGAAGCTCTTGCCCAAACAGAAGGGCTGGTAGGCTCACCTTTGAGTGCGGTCTTCAGCAGCTGCTGGGTTTCTGCGTCAAAAGACTGGATTTTATACTCATCTCTACTGGTCTCTCCCATGACGGTGTAGCCCCAGCCGCTTTTCACTGGCCTGAAACTAATGACAGCACCTGAGAAGCAAAGGCCGAAGAGGCTTCAAGTGAGAACGGCAGCGCTCCGGATTCTAGTCCTGTCGGCACTGGGTCAGGGCAGGCCAGGGCTTGGGACAGGTGTAACAGGACTTTCTGTCGCCTTCAGTGGTTGGCCGCGAGCCCACCAAACTTGGCTTCTGGTGGGGACTTTGAGCATCAAGGAGGCACCTGCAGTTCAACTTAAGGAAACCCTGGCTTCTTTTGCGATACATAGGAGAAACGAAGCGGGAATTTACCTACGGTCGCGGCAGGGTCTGGGTTATTAGTATCAGGATAAGTTTAGGGGAGCATATTCTGAACTGGGTTGTGGAGAGGTAAATATCACACTCGCCCAAATTATCCAGCACGGAGAATTCTGGCGCAGTTCCTTGGCCGGCGTTGCCCAAGCCGCGAATCCTGACACCAGCAGGGCTTCGAGCCCTTCTCCCCAGTGTCTGCCAGTCCTTTTCAGCCTACCAAACCCACCCCTGCAGCCGTTAGGATCGCACTAGCCGGCGTGGAAGGGCGCCCGTGTCTCCGGGGCTGCGCAGCGCGTGCCCGGCGTGGTACCGCGCGGAAGCTGAGCTCATCTTGCTTTGAGCCTGAGCTGCTTGCCCGCGCCCCCTGCCGGCCACGGCCCGTCCTCGCCTCCGCACCCCGCCGCCGCCCCGGGCCGCTCCCTCGCTTGGCGCCGAGACAGATTCACACCCCGCTTCTGCGACACCGACACGGCCACCGCCGCGCCGAGCGCTCACCGGACCCCGTCCCCTCCTCACCGGGCGCGCCTCCGCCTTGTTTCTGAACGTAGAGGCCGTCGAGCGCTCGGCCGGACTTGCTCCCCCTTCCGCATGAAGCCCTCGATCTTGCGGGCTCGCACCCCTCGCCAGGGTCACCATGTCCCTTGCCGGGCTCAGGTGAACTGGGTCGGAGACTCCCCGGCCGTGAGGCGTGGGAGGAGCCTCGGGGAGGCGTGGCCTGCCCGGGAGAAGGGGCGGGTCAATCGCAGAGGACTCAACACCGTCATCTAGGGTTCGACTAGTTAAAGTGTATGGGCTGGGGCACACCCTGGCAACTCCCTCTCTTGCCACCCGGGCAAAACAACTTTCAACTCCAAGGGACAATTCGAGAGAAAGGCACCACTGTGGCCTCCACACTCCACAGGAGATCAGGAGCCAAATCTCGCGCCTGTTTAAAGAGTTGTCACAACACTCGAGGTAATAGGCACAAAAGAGAACTCCGGAGAAGCTTGGAATTTACTTCATAAAAAAAGCAAACCAAAACATCCAGAAGCTGATTCTAAAGCCTCCAGGTTAAGATGGGACAACTAAGAGAAGAAACAAACTGCCTCAAAAAGTAGAAAGAAAAAAAAATACTGGAGATTCTAGGGAAGCGGAAAAACCCAAGGGCTCCTCCCTACAGAAGCAATGCGGATTGCCGAGGGGCAGCCTGAAAAAGGTCCGGGTCAGCACAGCTGTGTGGAAGAAGCAGCGATGAAATGGGCTGCCTGGCAGGACCGATCAAGTTGACTTGAAGAAAGTCGACCCACTGAGCTGCCTGGTGGAGTCTTCAATCTCTTGGGCAGCCTGCAGGCCGTTGGGTGTGCTCCATGTTTCCGGCTTTCCAGAGCTATCAGCCTCATTGTTTGGTTCAGCAAATTGGACTTTGGTAGTGTGGAGGTTTCGTGTGTTTTTTGTAATTATTTATTTAATGTGCATTGGTGTTTTGCCAGCATTTATGTATAGGAGGATGTCAAATCACTTTGAGCTGCTGGATCACACAGTTGTGAGCCTCCATGTGCGTACTAGGAATTGAACCTGGGGGTGCCCTTAACGGCTGAGCCATCTCTCCAGCCCCGTGCGCTAAATAGTTTTATACCAAACTAAAGCCATGTGGGAAGCAGGAACAGCAATTAAGAAAATGCCTCCATAGGGTTGGGCTTGTGGGCAAGCCTGGAGAGCATTTTCTTAGTGACTGATGGGAGAGGGCCCAGCCCATTGTGGGTGGTGCTACCCCTGGGCTGGTGGTCCTGGGTTCTATAAGAGAGCAGGCTGAGCAAACCATGGAGAGCAAGCTAGTACACAGCACTCATCCGTGGCCTCTGCATCAGCTCCTGCCCTGCTTGAGTTCCTGTCCAGACTTCCTTTAATGATGAACAGTGATATGGAAGTATAAACCAAATATACTCTCTCCGCCCCAACTAGCTTCCTGGTCCTGATGCTTCATGGCAGCAATGGAAACCTGTCGACAGGTAGCATCTTCACATTGGTCTGCCATCCTGTCATCCTCTGGAGTAGACATCCGTTCACACTTCTCCAGGAAGAGGACCACACTACACTTCTGCCGCCCCAAACCCAGGAAGCCAAGAGCCCACCCACCTCAGAAACCCTCCCAAGAGCAGCCTGCACTCGGGAGGCAGAGGCAGGCGGATCTTTGTGAGTTCGAGACCAGCCTGGTCTACAAGAGCTAGTTCCAGGACAGGCTCCAAAACCACAGAGAAACCCTGTCTCGAAAAACCAAAAAAAAAAAAAAAAAAAAACCAAGAGCAGCCTGGACCTTGAGAATCCACAGGCAAGGTCAGAGAAGGTCGATAAGAGCGGGGTACAAAGGGACTGTAGAGGAGGGGACTGAGGCTGGTGCTGGGCAGAAGTCCCAGAGTCCCAGCTTCCATGAACAGGGCTGTTACAGTCAGTTATTCAGGGGGTGGAATCCCAGTCAAGGGATCTCTCCTCCCTTCCCTCTGCCAGACTCACTGACAGGCAGGAGCTCGGAAAAGATGGTCACCGTGTATTTCTTCTCTTGAGCCTCTAACAAAAGTTTTTCCTCTTCATATATATACATCTCTCTGGACTGCTAAGTGGCTGGGCCCTTTGGGAATTAGAGGACTCACATGTACGACACCCATGCTGAGCTGACCCAGTGCAGAGGAGCCACTGACAAGACTGAGGGTCAGGGCCAGCACGCCCCCTTTACTTCCTGCCTTCTGCCTACAAGCTAGTTTTGTCCGGCGTCCTTCCTGTCCAGTCCTGGAGCCTCACAGCCACAAAGGTCTGGAACTGGGGGGTTCAGAAGCTCCCCACGTGGTAGGGTTCACCCCTTACGTTGAAGAGCATGGCTGCCTCAGGGCTGCAACTGCAGGGACAGCAGAGGGCCCCTCCCATCATCCTCGAGTGACATACAGAATGTGCCTTTTGCTTTAATGTCTATTAAATAAGTTGGTAGGAGAAACAGACCAAGCTGTGGGGCTTAGACGTCTACAAAGAGCCCAGTCCTGTCCCTCTGTACTCAAGCCTTACTCTTACCAGGACTGGGAGACTTTCCCCCAAAACAGGACTACAAAGCAGAGGATGCCTGATTCCCTTAGGGCTGGACAGAGGACCAATGCCAGGCTCCTTCTCAGAGCCTTGCTTCTACAGCCCATGGGGCTTCCTTCTCTGCTCTTTCCGGAAAAGGTCCCGCCCTTCTGCCATCCGCTGTGGGTGACTTTTCCTGCGCAGGGCAGCCAGCCTGGGAGGCCTAGCAGGCAGCAGCCATCGTAGAAAATGAGCTCAGAACAAGTCTTGTTGGGGGAGGTGCCTCCCGCTCGGCTCTCACAGCTATCTGTCTTCTCTCCGTATGCAGTGGAAGAGGTTACAGAAGAGCTCGTACCAGAAGAACATGAAGCCCGTGGACAGGGCAGCCTTCAGCAGGCTGGGGGACAGGCCCTTGAAGAGGCCCTGGGTGCCTTCATCTTGTAGCACTTGCTTGGTGAGGTGCAGGAGGCCCCTGTAGCTCCGCACCTGGGGAGAGGAAGGTGTAGGTTGATGAGGAAGCAGTGATTAAAACGGGGTTCACCCGGCACAGCACAGCTTCCAGCAACTGCTCCCTAGATTAGCAAGAGTGAAATTCTTCATTTTTGGGGATGTGGGCTAGGTCAGGCTTAACTGAGCTGGAGCAGGCTCCTTCCTGGTGAGGGGTACCTGCCCATGGTTCTGGCGGATACAGTGAAAGTCGTGGGCCATCCTGGAGCCTTCACCCCATTACATGTGGTTCCTCTTGGGCAGCAGGTCTGAATCTGGCCATCGCTATGGCCTCCCCAACCAGTGCCCTGCTCTCCTGCCCATTAAAGAACCCAAGACTTTTTCCTGGGTGTATCCCTAAAGGACGAGGGTCTAAGGGTCATGCCAGTGCAGAAGCAGACTCAGGCTGGCCAGTGGACCAGGTCCAAGGCTTCTGTCGCTAGTGGGGACTACAATGGTCATGTTGGTCTTGGTGTTAAGTGCTCCACAGAGGTAGCCACTGCCTTCCGAGGGGTCGTCATCTTGGCAAAGCTTTCCACTCTCCCTGTGCAGAGAGGCTACTAGGGGAAGAAGATTGATAAGCCTTACACTGTTCTATGCAAGGTAACAGGCCGCTGTGGTTCTCTGTGTTGGTACGTCTCATCCCTGCCCCCTGAGGCACTGGCATAGTTTCTGCTCCTGTGCCCAAAAAGCTACTGCTGATGGCCAGTATTGATGTCTGCTGCACATCAGCCAGGGGCTGCACTGCCACCCAGGGCATCTTTGCCAAAGCCACCTTTGATGCCATCTCTAAGACCTATAGCTACCAGACTCATGACCTCTGAAAAGAGACTATGTTCACCAAGTCTCCGTATCAGGAATTCACTGAGCATCTTGTGAAAACCCACACCAGAGTCTCCGTTCAGAGGGGGCAGGGCTGGTTCCCTCACTGTCCAATAGAGCAAGGACTTGAGCACTCTGCACAAGATGACTTACCTGGCCGAAGGCAGATCGCGCATGCTCGAAGCCTCCCACCTGTAGCCGCTTCTTGAAGAGGTCCAGGGGGTACGTAAGGGTCTTGCTGATGACTCCAGATCCACAGCCACAAATCAGGTTTTTAAGGTTCCCTGAACCAGAGACACCATTTTGAAGAGAAGGCTGAGAGGAATGCAATTGAAGGTAGAAGACATGACGGGGGCAGGGGACAGGAGAGACAATTGAAGGTAGAAGACATGACGGGGACAGGGGACAGGAGAGACAATTGAAGGTAGAAGACATGACGGGGACAGGGGGCAGGGGACAGGAGAGACAATTGAAGGTAGAAGACATGACGGGGACAGGGGGCAGGGGACAGGAGAGACAATTGAAGGTAGATGACATGACGGGGACAGGGGACGGGAGAGTGTTCAGTGACAGGAGAGTGTTCAGGTTGTAAAGCACTTGCTCTTCCAGAAAAACCAAGTTCTGTTCCCAGCACCCACATCAGCAACTCACAATTGCTTGGAACTACAACTCCAGGGAATCTTTTGGCCCCCTTGTGTGCCCTTATACACACACACAACACACACAGATGCCATAACACATGCAGACACATAAAATAAACCAGAGCTGGAGAGATGGCACGGCAGTTAAGACCACTGGCTGCTTTTCTAGAGGACCTGGATTCTATCCCCAGCACCTCATGATGGCTCCCAGCTGCTGGTAACTCCAGTTCCTGGGGATCCAATAACCTTTCCTGTCTCCAAGGGCACCAGGCACACACATAATACACAGACATACATAAAGTAATTAAAAATCTTTAAAAATATATGAATTAAAAATATCAGAGCTGGGCAGTGGTGGTGCATGTCTTTAATCACTCAGAAAGCAGAACTAGGCAAATCTCTGAGTTCGAGGCCAGCCAGGTCTACAGAGCAAGTTCTAGGATGACCAGAGCTATTTATTACACAGAGAAACCCTGTCTCAAAAAACCAAAACAAAAAGAAAAAAGTCATCAGACTTAGTACTCCACCACGAACCCGAGCCCCACAAAAATTCTCCTTCTCGAGAGGGAACCTGACCGTTGCTAGTGGCAGGCACAGCCACTGGAGCACGACTGACAGCTGGGACCAGGGACGTGAGCCAGCTGGACAGCAGGGCCCTCTGAGCAGTCACCTGGAGACAGAGCCCATGAGCCCCCCTTCCCCACAAACAATGGAAACCACAAAAGCTAAATAAATAAGTAAATACATAAAAGTGCAATTGCTCCCAGAAGTGCACGGGTGAGTATGTAAGGGCCGGAAGGAAGTGCCCTCCAAAGTGCAAGACTTGCTTATTCTGTGAGCTAGACCACAGAGCCAGGTGCTCCAGACAGGAAAATCACTGTCTTCAAGGCTCACAGAAGCTGTGGCCCAGGCTAGGCCAGGGTGGGGGTCCTCACCTGTTTGCTTTCCATCTGGTGGAATGACCCAGTCGTAGGCATGCTTCAAGGATCGGTAGCAGGAGAACTGCAGGCCCGCATAGGGGAAGATGGCGATCACGGTGGGAGCCAAGCCCTTATAGAAGACCCAGGGGCCCTCAGTCCTGTACATGGTCCACACGGCCTCTCGGAGGGTGTTATAGATCTGCACAGGAAGGAATGTGCATGCTGGGTGAGCTGGGTGAGCTGGTTTCTTATCTAAAACCCAGCAGCCAGGAGTGCTAACCTTCCCTCTTCAGTCTAGGAAAACTAAGGATAAAGTAAGTGGGGGGATGGGTGTGGAGGCACACACATGTTGTAATCCTAGCACTTAACAGGTGGAGGCAGGAGGATGAGGAGTTCAAGGCCAGCCTGGGCTGAATAGGACCCCATCTGAAAAGAAAACAAAACTTCCTCGGGCGGTGGTGGCGCACGCCTTTAATCCCAGCACTCGGGAGGCAGAGGCAGGCGGATCTCTGGGAGTTCGAGGCCAGCCTGGTCTACAAGAGCTAGTTCCAGGACAGGCTCCAAAACCACAGAGAAACCCTGTCTCGAAAAACCAAAAACCAAAAAAAAAAAAAAAAGAAAAGAAAACTTCCAAAGGGCAGCGGGGTGCGGTGGTGCACATCAGAGTCTAAGCACTTAGTGGATGGAGGCAGGATGGTCAAGAGTTTGTGGACAGGGGCAGGAGAGATGGCTCAGTGATGAAGAGTACTGGCCGCTCTTCCAGAGGACCCAGGTTTGGTTCCCAGCATTCACACAGTAACTAACAACTGTAACACCAGTTCCAGGGTATCTAACACCCTCTTTTGACCTCCGTTAGTCCTGCACGTACACAGTGTACAGGAATAAAGGTGGGCCAAATAACTGTACACAAAAACAAATCTTAAAAAAAAAATGTTTGAGGCCAGCTGGGCATAGCTGGTGCAGAAGCAGGCATCTCTCTCTCTCTCTCTCTTTTCAAGGCCAGCCTGCTCTACATATCAAGCTATATAACAAGACCTTGTCTCAAAAAAAAAAAAATAGAAAGAAAGAAAGAAAGAAAGAAAGGAAAAGAGCTTGAGGCCAGCCTGAGCAAGAGGCTAGCCTGAGCAACACAGGGAGACCCTGTCTCCAAAACAAACAAACTAATAAAAGGCTGTGGCTTCCTGACAACTTCCTTCCTAGAAATTTCCATGGCTGGTATTCTTTCATGAGTATATAAAGGGATGTGTCCTGGGACTAGGGACCCGGGCCAGCAAATACTTTCTGCTCTTGCAGAGGACCCAAGTTCGGTTCCCAGCATCCACATGGCAGCAGCTTCAGAGGATACCACGCCCTCTCCCAGGCATGTGGGCGCTGCACACATGTAGTACACAGACACACATGCAGGCAAAACACCCATACACATCCCAGCAGCATCCTGTGGACCGCAAAGGAGCCACCTGAACTCTGCAGCCCACTGGGCCACCCTCAAGGGAAAGCCACTTCCAAGAACAAAAACCCTGCCCAGGTCTCCCAATGAAATCACAAACAACACCACAAAGAGTGGATGGTTCATTTCAAGTTCCTTCCCAGGAAGGTGGGAAGCAGGCTGAAGAACAACAGAAAATGCTGCACAGGCTGGCATCAAGTTCCTCCGAGCAGGAAGGTGGGGAGAAGGCTGAAGAACAGAAAACGCCATGGAGGCTAGCATCGGGTTACTGTAAGCAGGTTCCAGTGCATGTCAAGGAAATGAGCCTGTTAGAGAATTCTGCAGTCACTGCTCTTTTGGGAGGTGAGGCAGCAGAGCTTAGGGCCTCCTGTGTGAGTGATTCTGTGCTTCTCGGCTCTGCAGGGGCCCAGAGCAGGCAAGCCCAGAACCAGCACCCGCTGGGGCCCAGAGCAGGCGAGCCCAGAACCAGCACCCGCTGGGGCCAGAGCAGGCGAGCCCAGAACCAGCACCCGCTGGGGCCAGAGCAGGAGAGCCCAGAACCAGCACCCGCTGGGACCAGAGTAGATGAGCCCAGAACCAGCACCCGCTGGGGCCAGAGCAGACGAGCCCAGAACCAGCACCTGCTGGGGCCAGAGTAGCAGAGCCCAGAACCAGCACCCGCTGGGGCCAGAGCAGATGAGCCCATAAGGATGCCCGCTGCATTAGTTGGCAGAGGAAAGGCTGGCCTCCCTCCTTACTACCGCTGCCACCTCTCCCTTCTCTCAGCAGAGGCTGGCAAGCAGTGGGAGTGGTACAGGAAAAGCTGGGTTGTCACCAGCCACCTTCCCTCTGGCCAAGGAGCCACCACACTGTGAGACTGACTCAACCCTCATCCTGTTTCTCCACCAGAACAGTCACCCCAACCTCCAATTTTTCAAGAAATGATCACACACATCTGGCTTTTCTGTACTATTCCTACGGGACGTTGCTCTTGGTGATCAAAATATCATCAGAATGTTTGTAAGAGGGTCTCCACCCCGAGAACACAGAGGCCGGGCAAAACCAAAACCTAAACGTCCCGTCCCTACACACGAGAGTGGACATAAGGATCGATAGAGACACACGCATAGTGACATACTGATCTTTCTAGAAGAATTTTTACATTTTTAATTTTATGTATGGATACTGTGCTGGCTGGTCTTGGGCCTACTTGACACACAAACTAGAGTTATCTGAAAGGAGGGAACCTCGACTGAGAAAATGTTTCCATGAGATCCAGCTCTAAGGCATTTTCTTAATTAGTGATTGATAGTGGAGGGCCAGCCCATTGTGGGTGCTGTCATCCCTGGGCTGGTGGTTCCTGATAAGAAAGCTGGCTGAAGCTGGGCGGTGGTGGCTCACGCCTTTAATCCCAGCACTCAGGAGGCAGAGACCGGTGGATCTCCGTGAGTTCGAGGCTAGCCTGGTCTACAAGAGCTAGTTCCAGGACAGGTCCAAAAGCTACAGAGAAATCCTGTCTCAAAACACCAAAAATGCACACCCCCATGGCCTCTGCATCAGCTCCTGCCTCCAGGTTCCTACCCTCTTTGAGCGCCTGTCCTGATTTCCTTCAATGATGAACAATAATAAGGAAGTATAAGTCAAATTAACCCTTTTCTCCCCAACTTGCTTTTTGATCAGCGTTTCATTGCAGCAATAGAACCCCTGACTAGGACAAGTGTTTTGCCTGCAGGCATGTTTGTACACGGCTCACAGGTAGTGCCAGCAGAGGGCAGAAAGCGGCTTTACATCCCCAGGGCCTAGAGTTACAGATGGTTGTGAGCTCCCTTGTGGGTGCTGGGAATCGAACCTGGACCATCTGGAAAAGCAGTCAGTGCTCTTAAACATCGAGCAACCTCTCCCCACTGTGTTTATTTCTTGGATGTGGGCCTGTGCATGCTTTGTGCATGTGGTAGTCAGAGGACAAAATCTGGGAGCTGGTTCTCTTAACATGTGAGTTCCAGAAATCAAACTCAGCCGTTAGGGTGGCAGCAAGTGTCTTTCCCCACCGGACCATCCTGCCAGCTCCTATTCTGTTCGTTTTTGAGACACAGTCTCACTACATGGCTGAGGTGGCCTCCAACCCCTGAACTCAGCCAACCTGACTCCACATACTAGGACTCTAGCACGGGTGTGGCCGCTTCTAATGTGTGGTCACTGTTTGTGTGTGGTCACTGCTCGTGTGTGGTCACTGCTCGTGTGTGGTCACTGCTCATGTGGTCACTGCTCGTGTGTGGCCGCTGCTCATGTGTGGCCACTGTTATCTTTTTGCTTTTTGTAGCAGTGTTTTGGGATTGCTAGTGTGAATATGTTTGGGAGGTTGTGGTTTTTGGAGGTGTTTTTGTTTGTTTGCTTTTGGTTTTTTTTTTTTTTTTTGAGACAAGATCTCACTTTGTAGTCCAAGCTATCCTTGAAATCCCACGATTCCTCCTGTCTTCATCTCCCCTAAACTAGGATTATAGGCTTGGGCCTCAAGCCTATCTATTTTTTTAAAACACAGGTTTTTTTTTTTTTTCTTTTGCTTAAAAAAAAAAGTTTTATTTTATGTGTGTATGAGGGTCTGTCTGCATATATGTATGTGGACAGCAGGCATGCCTGCCTGGTGCCTACAGAGGCCAAGAGAGGATATCAGAGTCCCCAGAACTGGAGTTAAAGATGTGGGTGCTGAAGCCGGGCGGTGGTGGCGCCCGCCTTTAATCCCAGTATTTGGGAGGCAGAGGCAGGCGGATCTCTGTGAGTTCGAGACCAGCCTGGTCTATAAGAGCTAGTTCCAGGACAGGCTCCAAAACCACAGAGAAACCCTGTCTTGAAAAACCAAAAAAAAAAAAAAAAAAAAAAAAAGATGTGGGTGCTGGGAACCAAACCTGGGTCCTTGGTCCTTTGCAAGATCTCTTAACCTCTGAGTGGTCACCTGCCCCGAATGTTACCCTTCAGTACATCCGAGAAGCAGACTCGATCAGGAGGTCTGATTCAGGATGCGAGGCTAATACTGGCCACCAATTTGACGGATCTGGATCACCTAGGACACACACCTGGGTGTACATGTGACACATTCACCAGGTGAGCTGAAGTGGGAAGACCCACACTAAACGCAGCTGGCACCATCCACGGGCTGGGGTCTGGACCGTTAGAAAGGAGAAAGTCACCTGGGCACAAGCCATCACTCTCTGCTTCTGACGACAGATGCCATGTGACCAGCCGCCTCAAGCCCCTGCCCACAGGGTTCTCCACCACGACAGACAGCACCCTAGGACTGTGAGCCACGGTAAGCCCGTTCTCCCTTCAGTGGCTTTCACCACTGCAGGAAGAAACGTCACTAAGACATAGGCTTGGTCCACGGCTCTCAGTGAGTCCTTCCTTGAGACTGACTCACCTAGGCCAGCTCCTTCAGCACATCCCTTGAGGAAACCCTCAGGATGTTATGGCCAAAAGTTTCTGAGTCCCAAGTCCCCAGATGCCTGCCTCCATTCAGCCTACTGCTGGATACCTATTTGTTCTGTTTTGCCCCTGTGGGCTCAGTCTCCCTAGGAAATCTCTGAGGTACTGGGAAACATGGACACAAAACGCCTTGCGGAATACAGATTACTGACAAGCCTTACAAACTGGCTGTCGGGGGGCTGGAGAGATGGCTCAGCGGTTAAGAGCATTGCCTGCTCTTCCAAAGGTCCTGAGTTCAATTCCCAGCAACCACATGGTGGCTCACAACCATCTGTAATGAGGTCTGGTGCCCTGTTCTGGCCTGCAGGCATACACACAGACAGAACATTGTATACATAATAAATAAATAAATATTTAAAAAAAAAAAAAAAAAACTGGCTGTTGTGCTGGTAAGGAGAGGTGCCCCAGCTTTGCTTCCTGAAGGGTCCGGAGCTCCAACTCCTGTGCTGCCACCTCCTCCAGGCTCCACTTGTCTGGCCCCGACTGCTCACCTTGGGCTCCCCCTGAGCTGCGAGGCGGGTGCGCAGGACATCCACAGGGTGCACGGCGAGGGTGGCTGCGCCGGCAGACAGGCCACCGCATATAAAGTGTGCGGAGAATTCGTGCGTTTCATACAGGTTGATTCTGTAGAGCAGTTCGGTCAGCTCCTCAAATGATAGGAACTACAAAAGCAAGTGGAAAGTCACTGACGACAAGCTGAGGAGACGGAGGAGATGGTCCCTAGGACAAGACACACGGCACTCGGTATCCAAAGAGTTAAGAAAGGGGGCTGGGAAGAAGGCTCAGTACTTCAGAGCAGATGTGCACGACTCTTGCAGAGTTCTGATCCCAGTTCCTGCATCTGGCAACTCTCACTACCTGTAACTTCAGCTCCGGAAGCACCAGCACAGATGTACACACATAACTTAAAAATCTCCAAAAAGAAGAAAGGTAAGGAGCAGGCTAAGCAGGTCACTTGGGGATCACTTGCCTAGCACAAGGCCCTGGGTTCTATCTCCTACATCATCTAAAAAAAGGGGGGGCGGGGCTGGAGGGATGATTCAGTGGTTAAGAGCACTGGCTGTTTTTCTAGAGGTCCTGAGTTCAATTCCCAGCAACCACTTGGTGGCTCACAACCATCTGTAATGAGATCTGGTGCCCTCTTCTGGCCTGCAGGCAGACATGCAGAACACTGTATACATAATAAATCTTTTTTTTTTTTTTGGTTTTTTTTTTTTTTTTTTTTTGGTTTTTCGAGACAGGGTTTCTCTGTGGTTTTGGAGCCTGTCCTGGAACTAGCTCTTGTAGACCAGGCTGGCCTTGAACTCGCAGAGATCCCCCTGCCTCTGCCTCCAGAGTGCTGGGATTAAAGGCGTGCGCCACCACCGCCCGGCTCATAATAAATCTTAAAAAAAAAAAAATAATAAAAATAAAAAAAGGTACTAGGGAAATAGCGTCGTTGGTTAAGTGTTTCTGTGCAAGCCAGGACCTGAGTCTGAACTCCAGCACCCACATAAAAAGCAGGGTGCAACAGTGCACGCCTGTGATCCCCGAGCTAGGGGTTTTCAGGGATGGAGACATAGCTTTCTCCTCTGTAGAATCAGAGAGACAACAGGATCTACCACACAGATGACTGTGAAGGACCAGGCCCATGGTGCGAATTCTACAGGGATGAGACAGCGTCACTCCTGCCAGACCTTAGAACGTTCAGGGTGCTTAGCTAAAGCGGGGAATGCTGGGAAGTGAGAAGCCCGTGTGTCAGTCTTCACCCATCACGGACAGTCACGAGGTCCCAGCAGCTCTGCTGCACCCCATGGCCCCTGCTCTACGCTCCTCTCACGCGCCAGAGACACAACTGAACCCCTGGGTGAAGGTGCTACTTCCAAAACTGGATGGCTCAGGGGGTAAAGGTGCTTGCAGCCAAGCCTGAGGACCTGAGTTTGAACCCTGGACCCTGGTTAGGCTTAGGGTCACATGACATTAATGCCAGAACTTGGGAGGCAGAAGCAGATAGGTCTCAATTGAGTTCTAGGCGAGCCTGTTCTACCAGAGTTCCAGGACAAGGCTGCCTCTAAAAACAAACAAACAAACAAGAAACAAATCCCCAGCAAACCCAGGCCTGCAGGTTGTCCCTGACCTTGACACCTTGGCAGGAACTGTGCGGCAGCTCATCTCCCCCTGTTTTTTTTTTCTTAATTTTTATTTTTAAAAATAATCATTATACTTTTATTATTATTTCTTATCTATGTGCATCGGTGTTTTGCCTGCGTGAGGACGTCCAGTGACAGCTGTGAGCTGCCATGTGGTTGCCGGGAACTGGACCGGGGTCCTCATGGAAGAACAGTCAGTGCTCTTAACGGCTGAGCTATCTTTCCAGCCCTGGAAAGATATCTTTCTTCTCTGAAGAAATAAACAAAATGTAATTTGAAATTTCAAAAGAAAAATGGAGGGTATATGAAGAATACTCCTCAGAATCACCTGGGACAGGGCCCAGAGAGGGGAAGAGAACAGGCGTGGCTAACTGATGATGTCCTCACTCGTCAGTGCAGGCAACTGGGCAGAGTGGGAATTGCCCTCACTTGCCTTTCCTCCCCCTTTTCCTGCTCCATGGAACAATGTGACCCCAGGGACGTGACCGAGTTCCCCGGTACCTACTTGGACTGCTCCGTAGGCTACAGACAGAATCTGGGCAGGAACATGTCCTTTCCAGAACGCCGCTAGGCCCTCCTCCTGCAGAATCTGCTTGACCGCCTGGAAGATTCCGTGGTATTTGGCGTTGGGGTCACTTGGACACAGGCGTTCAATCTGAAGCTAGGGATTCAAGTGTAAAAGGTCAGGATGGTGAGGGAGGGGGAGGCGATGGGGTGGGGGGACTGAAGGAAATGAAAGCCTCTTCACCTTGTTTAGGACCTGCCATTGGGAGAGGGACTAGACCCGTTGTTCCCTAGCCCGTCACATGGAAAAGAGGGGAAAGGGCACCTGGAAGCGGATCTTGATGACATCCAAAGGGCTGATCAGGGCACGAGTGACAAATCCAGACACTGATCCTGCCACCGCCACCTCCAGCTTGGAGTTACTCCTGGTATCTGCTTTGGCATCATAGCCGACCATCCCTGCCTCTGGTCCATCCAACGTCCATGAGTATCAAGCTAAGTATAAGAGCCACAGAGTCAAGACAGGCTCCTTCCCACCCCTGCACAGACACCACCGTGCAGCAGGCCTCCCCACCAGCCTGAGGCAAGGGCCTTTGTAGCCTCTTCCGACTACACTGCTTCCTGTCCTCCCGATTAGAATGCGAGCCCACAGAGCTGGGAGCGGTGGCGCACGCTGTAGTCCCAGCACTCAGGAGGCAGAGGCAGGCGGATCTCTGGGTTCCAGGACAGCCGGGGCTACACAGAGAAACTCTGTCTTGAAAACAGAAAAAACAAAAACAAAATAAGCAAACAAGCTGGTGGACATATGGCCTTGATCTCAACTCTACCTTTTATACCCAGAGACAGAAGAAGACGACTAAAGCCAAGGATGGTGGCTCAGCAGTTAAAACCATTTGCTGCTTAATCATGGCCATTGAGCTGGGCGGTGGTGGCGCACGCCTTTAATCCCAGGCAGAGGCAGGAGGATCTCTGTGAGACCAGCCTGGTCTACAAGAGCTAGTTCCAGGACAGGCTCCAAAACCACAGAGAAACCCTGTCTCGAAAAACCAAAAAAAAAAAAAAACCAAAAAAAAAAAATCATGGCCACTGAAATTCAGATCCCAGTGCCCAAACCAGATGGCTATTGTAGATCTGTAAGGCCAGCTCCAAGAGATCCAATGCCCTCTTTGATCTCCTGAGGGTTCCTGCGCTCAAGGACACATATCAACCCGATGTACACACTCATAATTACAAACAAAATTAGGGCAGGATTAAGAACACTTGTTACTCTTGCAGAGGACCTGGGTTCAGTTCCCAGCACCCGCAGTGCAGCTTACTACTATCCATCTCTCCAGTTCAGGGGCATCCTACACCCTCTCTGGCTTCCACAGGCACCAAGCATGCAGGTGATGCACATAAGCACATGCATGTGAGCAGAGCATTCAAACACATGACTTAAATAAGTCTAAAAATTTTTCTTTTTTTTTAGTGCTGGGATTAAAGGCGTGCGCCACCACTGCCCGGCTGTCTAAAAACTTTTAATTAAAATATAATCCTAGTCTCCAACAAACCACCACTATCCAAAATTACTACCCAGTGCCCTCTTTGCCCTTCCCTCCATTGTAAGCACCCAGCGCTTGAGACAGGCAAGGAAGGCAGGAAGATCCCTGCAAATTCAAGGTCAGCCTGATCTACTTGGCAAATTCCAGGCTAGCAAGAGCAAAGAGCAAAGGCGTTAAGAATGCAAAACCAAACCCTCCTGTGGTCTGAATGAAAATGGCTCTACTGGGAGGTGTGGCTCCCTTGGAGTAGAGGGGTTCTTCCTGGAGGAAGTGTGTCACTGGGAGGTTTGAGGTTTCAGAACCGCAAGCCAGACCCAGTCTCTCTCTCTTACTGCTGCATGCTGATCCAGACGTAGAACTCTTAGCTCCTTCTCCAGCAGCGTATATGCCTGCAAACTGCCATGCTTCCTGCCACAGACAGAACCTCTGAACCTATAAGCAGCCTCAATTAAATGTTTTCTTTTTTATAAAACTCTTATGAGTTGTGAGGCCAGACAGTGATGGTGAACGCTTTTAATGCTAGCACTTGGGAGACAGAGGGAGCAAAATCTCTGAGTTCGAGGCCAGCCTTGTCTACATAGTGAGTTCAGGACAGCCAGGGCCACAAAGAGAAACCCTGTCTCCAAAAAAAAAAAAAAAAAAAAAAAAAAAAAAAACCAACAACAACAAAAAAGCACAACAAAGTTAACAACCAAAAAAGAGTTGCTATGGTCATGACATTTCTTCACACCAAAAAGAACTTTAACTAATAGACTCCCCAAAACAAAATAAACAAAACACCTAAATATAAAATAATTTTAGAAAGGCCATCAGAATTGCCCCCACAGTAAGCAGGAGGCTACCTGATGACTTTGACTTTCCCCCTCTCACCCACACTGGTACTTCTCCCAGAATCGGGAGAATCTGGTTAAACAAGGGCATAGGACTGAGCCACTGAACCCTTTCAGAGGTGATGGGGGACTGCTCAGTCCTCAACAGTTTCAAGTTTCCTGCAGTCTAGGAGGGAAAGAAGAGAAAGCCGAGAGGCAGGTGTCCTGGCTCGGTGTCCTGGCTCGACATTCGCAGAGGCTGCAAGACAGTAAATCTGTCTTCTAGTCTATCTGGAAGTCCATAGCTGCACGATTCAAACAACGCAGAAGGTGGGAGAGGCTGTGCATACAGATTTCAAAAGAATAAGCAGTCTACACTGCTGAATACAGATAAGACAAGCCTTTAATCCCAACACTCGGGAGCTAGAAGCAGGCAGATCTCTGTGAGTTTGAAGCTAACCTGGTCGACAGAACAGCCAGTACTATACAGAGAAAAACAAAACAAACACTTGAAGAAGTAATGGCCCACATCTACAATCCCAGCACATGGGAGGCAGAGGCAGGAAGATCAGAAACCAGCCTGAGCTACCTAAGACCTCATTTCCCAAGAAACCAAGATAAAAAAGACAGTGTTAGCCAAGTGTGTACAAGACCTTGGGCTCCATTCCCCAGCACCAGCACCTCAAGGGTGAGGGTGTGTGTATATAACTCAGGGGTAGAGTTCCTGCCTTGTATGCACAAAGCCCTGAGTTTACAATCCCATTACAACCAAAAATAAAAGCCTAGAGTCATAGAGATGGCTTAGTGGGTAATGGCACCTGCTGCCCAGCCTGAAGCTCAGCCTTCCATCCCTGGGGCCCCCATGGTGGAAGGAGAGGAACGACCTCAGAAAGTTGTCTCTGACCTTTACACGGCTGTCTCTGACCTTTACATGCTCTTTGTGATATGTGTGCAACTGTACATATGTATATACACACACAGACAGACACACACACACATATAACAAATGTAAAATAAAACCTGTGTTCAAATCCTGTCTCTCCATAGTTCAGGGGCAGCTTTGAAAATACTGACTTGAGTCAGGGCTCAGTGGGTAAGAGCACTGGCTGCTGCTCTTGCTGAGGTTTGATTCCCAGTACCCACATCAGGGCTCATAGCTGTCTGCAATCCCAGGCTCTGGGGATCTGAAACTCTCTTCTGTCCTCCTCCGGCACCAGGCCTGCACATGTGGTGAATACAGGCAGGCAAGCGCTCATCCACAGAAAATAAGTTTAAAAAAAAAAAAAAAACCTACTCAGTTTTTACTTGTGGAAAGTGGGAGATGATGTTTGACCTGCCTGGCTTGGATTGCTGATCAGATTAAGCGACACAACTTGAAAATGAGTAAGGTACACAAACCTAGAAAGCTTTTGAAATGTTTGTTTTCTAGAAAACCACAAAAACACAAACATTTTTAAAAACAAGGCTGAAAGTAGTACAGTTGGTAAAATGTCCCCACAAGAAGCACAAGTGAGCATGGGTGAGCTCGTAATACTTGGGAGATTGGAGGCAGGAGACCCGGGAGTTCAAGGTCATCCTTCCTAAGGAAGTCTAGCCTGGGTTACCTGACACCCTGTCTCAAACCAACAACAAAAATAAACAAAGAAGAAAAGTAATTTCCTGCTTATTCAAAACCTTCTTGCACCCATAACCTTGATACTAAACAGATTAAAAAATGATTGTGTAATATAAATAACGCAGGACCGAGACAGGGTGGCTGCCGACCTGAGCGGCAGGGCAAGGGGTGCAAGCGAATTTCTTCACCCCGCACCTTTCTAAGCCAGACCCCACAGCAGGGTGGACAGGTGTCCTTCGGTGAGTAACCGAGAGCCCACGTGTTCAGCCGAGGAGCTCTGCAGATGGCCCGGTGTGGGGACACTGTGCAGGCGTACCCGGGGAGTAAAGGGGGCTTCTTCGTGAATCCTGAGCAGTAGACAACCCCACGTGCAAGTGCCTGCGGTGCAGGGTGGGGGATTCGCCTTCCATGTCCCTGAAGATGCTTTGGGCTTAGGTGTGCCACGTGAGCATCCGTCCCCGCCCCGCGTGGATACCTGCCATTCTGTGTACCTACTCAGGGACCTGGGGTACCAGTTCCCGAGAGTACCAGTAGGAGAGCAAAGCCAGAGGTCACTCACCTGACCAGGCAGGTTCCGCCGAGCCCCACAAGCTCAGTTCTCCCTCCGCCCAACAGCAAAACTTAACTGCACTTGCCAGTAACTGACGGGCTGCTGGGCCAATCACCGCGCAGTTTATGACCGCAGATGGTCCAATCGATGTTCGTCGGAGGGACCATCTACTGTCACCGCCGAGGTATCTCTGGGTAATGTAGTCTTCCGCTCACAATCCCCGCCCCCTGAGAAAGGGAGAAGAGCCTCCTGGGAGATGTAGTTCTGTTGAGCTTGCGCGTGCGTCTTCCTGCCGTCGGAAGGAAGCGAATGGTGAAGCAGGCTTTTACGACTCTTTTGGCGGCTTCTTTTTTTTTTTTTTTTTTTTTTTTGGTTTTTCGAGACAGGGTTTCTCTGTGGTTTTGGAGCCTGTCCTGGAACTAGCTCTTGTAGACCAGGCTGGTCTCGAACTCACAGAGATCCGCCTGCCTCTGCCTCCCGAGTGCTGGGATTAAAGGCGTGCGCCACCACCGCCCGGCCTTTGGCGGCTTCTTTTAGTGGCTTGAGCCTCTGAAGTCGGCGGGTGTGTGTGGAAGGTTAGGGCTCTCTGAACCTGACCCACTTTTATTCAAATTAGTGTAGTCTCAGAATGCGTATAATCTAAATTTGGAAAAGATGGAGGAAAGCCTGGCATTATTAGCCTGGAGGACCGGGGATGGGTTCTTGGGATGAGAACCTTTAGTGGGGGCTGTATCCCTGACGTTTGTCACACAGTCAGGCGGGGTGACTTGGTTACCGGAAGGAAGATGGGGACTTCATCGTCCTTCCCTGCTACAGAGTTAGAGGCCAGCCTAGGCTACGTGAAACCCTGTCCCCAAAAAACAAGCAAAAGTTGTATCCGAACTGAGACCTAAGTCATTTGTTGTACTAACTAGTTAATGTCTCCTTACTTAACGTTTTGGGCTTTTTGTTTGTTTGTTTTTAATTTTTTTTTTTTTTTTTGGTTTTTCGAGACAGGGTTATTGGTTGGTTGGTTAGTTTATTATTTTGTTTGTTTTGTTTTTTGGGTTTTTTCTTCTTCTTTGTTTTGTTTTGTTTTCTCGAGACAGGCTTTCTCTGTCTCTTTAGATCCTTGATCTGGAACTTGCTATGTAGACTAGGTTGGCCTCGAACTCACAGAGATCCACCTGCCTCTGCCTCCTGAGTGCTGGGATTAAAGGCATATGCCACCAACATCCTGCTCTGCAGATATTTTTAAAAATTAATTTACTGGATCTCTGTGAGTTTGAGGCCAGCCTGGTCTACAAGAGCTAGTTCCAGGACAGGAACCAAAAAGCTACGGAGAAACCCTGTCTCGAAAGAAAAAAAATTGATTTACTGTGTGTGTGGCCATGGTACACAAGAGGGGGGAGGCGGGGTCAGAGGACAGCTTGCAGAAGCCAGTTCTCTCTTTCCACCATGTCCTAGGGATTGAATTAGTGTCAGTTCTGTTAGCAAGCACCTTTATCCACTGAGTCAACTCCTGAACCAGCCTTCAATATCAGAAATTTGCTTTTTTCTCATAGGTTCTCATGTAGCCCAAGCTGGCGTCAGGCTTTTTATGTGACTGTGGATGACCCGTAACTCCTGATTTTCCTTTTTTCCACATCGGATTGATCAATCCTACCTGGTCTAGAAATTTTTAATTTTAATGAAATCTATTTGCAGTCTTTGGGTGGGAGGAATAGCCAAAGGTTCATAAAGATTTTCCCAAGGCAGGCATGCTGGCATCTCCTGTGATCCCAACAGGAAGAAACAGGAGAACCTCAAGTTCAGGGTGTCGAGTGCATCTAAGTGTGTGCACAGGAGGGACAGAGAATGATGTCGACTGTTGTGTGCATCCCTGTGTGTGCACAGGAGGGACAGAGAATGATGTCGACTGTTGTGTGCATCTAAGTGTGTGCACAGGAGGGACAGAGAATGATGTCGAGTGCTGTGTGCATCCCTGTGTGCACAGGAGGGACAGAATGATGTCGACTGTTGTGTGCATCCCTGTGTGTGCACAGGAGGGACAGAGAATGATGTCGACTGTTGTGTACATCCCTGTGTGTGCACAGGAGGGACAGAGAATGATGTCGACTGTTGTGTGCATCTAAGTGTGTGCACAGGAGGGACAGAGAATGATGTCGAGTGCTGTGTGCATCCCTGTGTGCACAGGAGGGACAGAATGATGTCGACCGTTGTGTGCATCTAAGTGTGTGCACAGGAGGGACAGAGAATGATGTCGATTGTTGTGTGCATCTCTGTGTGTGCACAGGAGGGACAGAGAATGATGTCGAGTGCTGTGCACATCCCTGTGTGTGCACAGGAGGGACAGAATGATGTTGAATGTTGTGTGCATCCCTGCATGAATCTGAGACAGAGAATGATGCCAAGTGTTTTCCTCCATCTTACTGCCTTGAGACTGGGTCTCTTAGTGTACCCAAAGCTCACTGTTGTTTGGCTATATTAGCTGGCCAGTGAACTCCCAGAACCCACTTGTCTCTACCCTCCCCCACTTCCTTATTCCTGGGGTTACAGCCAGGCACAGCTTTTCACCTGGGTGCTGTGGATTTGAACTCAAGTCCTCATGTTTGTAAGTGCTCTTACCCACAAGCCATCTTCCTAGCCCCGGTGTGAGTAAATTTCTCTGTTTATGAATTGAAGTTCTGCACTAGTTCCCCCTAGATTTAGATGTTAACTTTCAGCGTCTGGAATATTCCTTCTGTTGAAGAGGCCATTTTCCTCCAGTGTATCTTCTTTTCCACCTCTGTGGAACTAGCCGTTTGCACGTGTGTACAGTTTGACTCTGCCCTCTTCACTCAATACGTGTTGATAAGCGCTGTCCACACGCACACACCTTAGCAGATGCCAGTTTTCTTGGGCTTTTAACCCGGCCCTAATTTTTGCATATTTGCAATCTGGTCATTTAAGTTCAATATATTTAGTAAATCCAGTCATGTGAAAAGATAAACCAGAAAAATAACAGTTCCCGTCAGCTTGGGGAAGTGAAGCCTTGTGTGACCTCATTATGCCCTAAGCAGACCTATTAAGAGTTTCTTCTGGACTTCCCCCGCCTCCTTGCAGGGAATAAGTGTCGCCATGGTCTTGAACAAATAGGGTGGGTGTTTCACAGCTGGGCTGCTTTGGTGGGGCAACTGGCACCTAGAAATCTCCTGTCAGTAGGGGGGCAGAGTTTAGCGGAAGGGGACCTGCTGTGTCTTCTTTGGCTTCCCTTTCTCCATCCATCCCGATGAAGAAGGTAGACTTCAGTGTGCCCAAGGCGTGTAGATTCATGAGTAAAAAACAACAACAAAAACAGAAAACCAAACAAAAACGAAACAAAGCAAGAAACCATGACTGTCCGTCTAAGCTGATACAGAATTACCACAATCACTAGGAAACCTTTTTTTTTTTTTTTTAAATCCAGCACTCAGGAGCAGAGCAGGCAGATCTCTGTGAGTTTGAGGCCAGCCTGATCTACAGAGTGAATTCCAGAACTGATTCCATAGCTACTGAGAAACCCTGTCACGAAAAACAAAACAAAACAAAAAGGGTTAGGGTTTATTTGTAATTAGGTGTGTGTGTGGGGGGGGGGGTGTTAGTGCATGGTGCATGCAGTTCCTATACAGTCCAGAAGAGGGCATCAGATGTCCTCGAGCTGGAATTGCAGGCCATTGTGATCTTCCATTGTAGGCACAGGAACTGAATGTGGGCTCTTGGCAAGAGGAGCACAAGTTGCTTTTTTTTTTTCTCTTTAAATGAATGATTTTTACTATTTTTATTTCTTGTCCATTGCTGTTTTGCTTGCATGTATGTCTGTATGAGGTTGTCAGGTCTCTTGAACAGACCGTTGTGAACTACCATGTAGGTGCTGGGAATTGAACTCAGGACCTCTGGAAGTTCTCATTATGTAGACCAGGCTGGCCTCTGGCCTCTGGTAATTCTTCTCCACTGCTTTTCTGAGTGCAGCGATTGCAGGTTTGAGCCACCACACTCATCCGTCTTCTTGGGAGGCCGGGGATGAGGATTCTTTTTTGTTTGCTTGTTTGCGACAGGGTTTCTCTGTAGTTTTGGAGCCTGTCCTGGAACTAGCTCTTGTAGACCAGGCTGGTCTCGAACTCCCAGAGATCCGCCTGCCTCTGCCTCCCGATGCTGGGATTAAAGGCGGGCGCCACCGCCGCCGCCCGGCTTGTTCTCTCACTCTTAAGTTCACCAATTTGATCCACGGTCACCATACGGTTTCGGACCCTGGAGCGTAGCAGGTCCCCATGGGAGCTTTCCTTTACTTAGCAGGTATTCTAGATATCATAGCTTCGTGTGGGGAATGAAAAGTGCCTACCCGAGTGGCTGGAGTGTGGCTCGGGAGCTGAGCAAGCCACTTCCTGGGTTGGCTCTCCAACCAAGGCAAACAGAAATCTTGTGTGGATGCCCCGCCCAGTTGGTGTTGAATGTTAGCCTATCTCGGTTGTTCCTAGGTTTCAGTATTTATGAATGAAAGTTCTGGGCTGAAGAGGTGGCTCAGAGGGGAAAGGTATTTGCTATCAAAGCTGGGAGAGCTGAGACCCACAGGTCAAGGGAGAGAATGACTTCTGTGAGTTGACCTCTGACTACGTGTGCACCATGGCACACATACACAAATAACTGTGAATAAACCTTCGCTTGACCGGGTGCCTTTAATCCCAGCACTTGGGAGGCAGAGGCAGGCAGATCTCTGTGAGCTCGAGGCCAGCCTGCTCTACACAGGGAGTTCCAGGACAGCCAGAGCTACACAGAGAAACCTTGTCTTGAAAATAAATAAATAAAATAGCCCTTCACTCGTAAGCGCTTGCATGGTTGTAGCTTCATTTCTGTTTTGTTTCAGACTTTGAGGTTTTTTTGTTTTGTTTTTTTTTTTCCTGAGAAACCCGTGAACAAAACCAAGTGTCGGAATGTTCTAGAGGAAGTTCTCATGGGCACCAGGTCCAACACCAGAGGTGCTTCTCACGGTTCCTCTTTTGTTATTTTCAGATTCACTCAGCACACGGCTCGAAACCCAGAAAACTTACAAAGAAATAAAGGGGATTCACTGTCCAGTGACAGGGACCTGCTCAGCGGAGGAGGAGTCGGGAGG